CAGATGATTAGGTTAATAAGTCGTTTAGAGAAACTTTTCATGATGTACTAATTTTCTGAGATAGGGATTTTTGATTTTTCTTTACTTTTTTGCCAAAATCATCTATATTAAAACAATAAAAGGCTTGAACTACTTCAGTTGGTGTGCAATGAAGCTAAAATATATGAAAGTTTAATGTTTATCAGTACATTACAGAAAATAATGAACTTTATCACAATATGCTATTTTTTGAGAAGGACCTGTATAGTCATTTTTAAAGGTGAACAGTAATATATTTTTATAATGTGGTTATTTCTAATTTAATTGATGATTTTATGTGCAGACTGGGTTATGGGACTCTTGATCAGGGTCTCAGAGACTCAGGAGGCTTTTAGTTAGATACATGCCTGATTTAAAACAACATAAGAACCGTGATTAAACATTAGGGTGAGGAATAATGTCTGATATTTTGACTCCATGTAGAGACAACCTGGCCCTTTAACATATGTCATGAGGCGGAGTCAGGATGCGAAGAGCTTTGTTTCTGGATGTGTTTCCACGGTCTGGGCACTGCTTAGGAGGCAGATTAAAACAAAAGCTAATCAGTCCACAGCTGTGTCCGAATGGTTTTGTATGGCTCACTCAAACATTCACATGTCATTATTATTAACTGGTGTTAGATCTGAAGAGGTAAAGGGTAAAGAACATTGCTTATTTTTTAACAGGATAATGACCCAAATCACAGATAAAAAACACCCAAGAATGTCTAAGAAGAAAACATTGGACTATTCTGAAGTGAACTTCTATGAGCTCCGACCTAAATTCTATTGAGCATCTTTGGAAGGAGCTGAAACATGCGGTCTGGAAAAGGTTCCCTTCAAACCTGAGCAGTTTACTCATGAGGGGTGGACCAAAAATACTTGCTTGAGAGAAACAGAAGTCTCATTGACAGTTACAGGATCGTTTGATTGCAGTGATTGCCTCAAAAGGTTGTGCAACAAAATATGAAGTTAAGGGTACCATCATTTCTGTCCAGGCCTGTTTCATGAGTTTTATTATGTTAAAATTCGGTTGAAGCACGGCTGAAAAGCAATGTATGAATTTCATTTGTTCATTTTCATTTAATTTTTATTTAATATTACTTTTGTCAGATTCAAGTTTTCTGTGACCATTGTGGGTTTTCCTTTTTATTAAACATGGGGTAGCAACAATTGCTCCAGAACCAGCTTACTGGGCCAATATAACCAAGGATCAGCTCTGAGCTCTTGAGAACAGAGGAGGGTGTTTATGTTCCAGCCACAGAGAACACCTAGAGTCCAGGTAGACCCACTTTCCTCTTACAGAGTAAATAAAAATAAATAAATAAATAGTCTATTGTTTTAACCACAGAGACAACCAACAAGAAGGCAGCAAAATGTAAAGAATTAGAGAAAAATTATAAATTTTTAATGTAAATAAATTCTAATTATAATAATAAATGAATAGTAGTGTTGCATCTAAAAATCCTAATTTATTATTTTCATCTGTCCCCCCCAATTCAGCAGCCTACTAGATTTCTGTTTTGCTGTGTTCAGTTTACTAATGTGTAAAAAATCCACTTTTTTGTTTATTCAGTCAGTATTTAATATAGCTGGCAAAAAAAATTCTTAAAATTAGTGCTGGACATAGATTAAAAATTTTAATTGCGATTAATCTCAAGATATTTTTGCGATTATTCGTGATTTTTTTTTTTAGAAACGATCACTCTACTATGGCTGAATGTGTAGGTTTGTATCTTGCAATACACTCCATGTGTGATACACTATGTAAATAATTTTTTTTTTATAAATATCAAAAAGTGAAAATGTATTGCTATTTTTTCATGAAATGTAGGTGATATACTGATCAAAATCTTAAGACCAGTCAAAAAAGTGCAAGAATTTGCATTTTGCTCTGTTAGATCTTAAGAAGGTTCTAAGTAGAGCGTCACAGTTTTTAAAAGAAGAAATCAGTGCAAGAGACAAGAACTTTTGAGCAGGGAATTTTCTGAAAACTGCATTTAATGCATTTTTGATCAAAAGTTTTAGACCATAGCTCAAAAAAACCTGAAAACCCCCCCAAAAAACAGAAATCAAAGTGTCAAAAAAAGGACTCAGTAATGAGTAGCTCCACCATTCTTGTTGATGACTTCAAACAATCGTTTAGGCATGCTTGATGCCAGTGTTTCCAGGAGGCTAGTGGGAACATTGCTCCAAGTGTTGAAGATGGCTTCATGAAGGGCATCCACTGTCTGGAACTGATGTCCATTTTTGTAAACTTCCCTTGCCATCCATCCCCAAATGTTCCATGTTATTCTCTTGAAGAACTCCTTTGTCAGGCGGGCATTGTGAACTGCAGCAT